CAGAGTGCCCCACTGGCCAATGTATCAATAATTAACAATTAAGGGTCCCGTGAAACAAAGAGATAGATAGCTACCATTAGTTAGCACATCCTGAGGTCTGCAGGATTTACAACTGGTGGGGTCAGGAGGCTATCTGATTCCCAGGCCTCCCCTCAAGACAAAGGGCCTCCTAGGAACTCATGACTCCTGGGTTCAATGGACAGAGAGTCGAGGCCCCTCCCTAAGCTTATGGTTTTTGCCTTTAAAAACGCCTGTGCCTGGGGGACAAGGCTGCTCTCTAGCCTGCATGCTGGGATAGCTCATTTGTACAAACGTCCACCTTTCATTAAAGCCTCTTGCTGTTTGCATCAAGTTTCGGCCTCCTCATGGTGATTGGGATGGCTGCAGTCCTGGGAAAAGATTCTGGAGGCCTGAGCTTCCGGGGTGGGGGTGGGGGCTCTGGTAGACAGAGCCAGGAAGAACCCTGGAGAAAATGGCCACAGCATTCTAAAAGGGTGTTGGATGGCCCAGGAGGCCCAGGAGGTCCAGGAGGTCCAGGAAAGGGCTATACCAGTGTGACTTGTGGGCCAGGTCATCCCCTCTGGCTGTCCTTGGATGAAAGGAACCCAGTTTGCATAAGGATTTGACCAAGGACCTGTAGGTCTTGGCAGATACCTGCAACCATCAAGAATGTTTTGTGCTCAGTCCCATGGCTGGGAGAGTATTGTTACAGGACAGAGAACCGAGAACCACAGTCTTGGCAGATACCTGCAACCATCAAGAATGTTTTGTGCTCAGTTCCATGGCTGGGAGAGTATTGTTACAGGACAGAGAACCGAGAACCACAGTCAGACTGTGAGGAAGAAATGGGGTCGGGGAGAAGTGAGGCAAGGAGCCATACACTCTGCAGCTCGGCACTGGTCAGCTACAAGACCTGCCATACCTCCACTGGTACTGGCCTCAAGGCATTCATGGATATAGCCAGGACTGCAGGGAGGGTGAAGGGGGGTGAGGAGTGAGGTGGTGATGGTGGTGGTAGTGTTTTTTCTTCCATAAAATGTCGTATATTTAATAAACATACTTTAAAATCATTAAATATATTAAATGTCTTAACATATCTAAGCATGGCTGAGGAGATAGGTCAGTGGGTAAAGTTCTTGCCACACAAACCTAATGACCCAAGTTCGGATCCCCAGCACCAATGTAAAAGCCAAAGCCGGACATAGTAATGCACATATCTGTAACCCCAGCACACCCCTGCTGGGAGATGGGGAGAGAGGCAGGAGAATTGCTGGAAGCTCTCAGGCTGGGCTAGTTGAGCACATGCGGCAATAAACAACAAAAATATACTTTCTCAAACGAGGTGAAAGGTGGGGGGGACAATGCCTGAGGTGATCTCCAACACACTTGTCCCTGGCACAAACACACCCTCATTCACATCCACAATTAAGTAAGAGCAAAAAAGAAGAGAAAGAAATAAAGCCCCTAGAGGATGGGAGGACTGGGGCAGGGGGCTGTTTTCCCACTAAAGCTTTCCTTCCAAACCCACACCTACCCCTAGCAAAGTTGTAAGTCACCTCTCAAAGCAACCCAGCTGGTTTCTTGCAGAGAGACCATCACAGACCTGTGCTAATGACCTGGTTTCCCTAGCAAGCCTCCCCCAGGAGGCTGGAGGGAGCTGGTTCCTCTACCACTCATACAGCACTAGGGTTTCCTGTTCTAGAGCTTGTGGTTATATGAGAGTTTGCAGTTAGAGAGGTCTCTGAAGACAGGAAAAGGCCCCTTGTCTGGACATGGCCCTCTTAGGTTCAGGTCTTGCTCATGCACACTGTCCTCTCTGGCAGCATTCCTTGAGGGCCTCCAGGAAGCCAGGCACACGTGTCTAGGAAGCCACTGGCTACCAGAGGGGCTGACTGGAGGCAGGTTTGGGTGTTGCTACTTTGTATGTGGAGAGGATGGTTCCTCCAGGGTGATCTCGAGAGGAAATAGAGCTTCCTCAGAATGTCAGCATGGAAGGAGAAGTAGCCTAGGGTAATGCTGAGGCAATTTAAGAGACCAGAAGAGAAGTGTGGTTGAAGGTGAGAAGGGCTGGCCCAGAGTCATGAGGAACCATGGCCTAAGGTAAAGAGAACAACTCCACAAGGAGACACTGAGTGTCACAAGAGAGCTCAGTGTCAGTACAGGTGTGCTCTGAGGGCTGGCAGATCTGGAAGCCCAGAGCAGTCCACTGTAGCACAAATTCTCCTCAGACTGTATCTGAGCTTCCTCCTGTCTTCTCTTGCCTTATATTCTTTTCTCCGTCCAGCCATATCACTCCTGTCTCCACCTCCTTAGTGATGGGATTAAAGACATGCGATCCCAAGTGCTGAGATCACTTTGGTGTGAGCTCTGTTACTCTTTTAGACTGGATCAATTTTGTGTATCCCAGGGTGGCCTTGAACTAACCAGAGATCCGTCTGCTGGGAGTAAAAGTGTGCACCACCACTGCCTGACCTCTATGGCTAACTAGGGTGGTTAGCTTTGCACTCTGATCTTCAGGCAAGATTTATTTGTTGGATCATAAACAAAATATCACCACAGTCCACCTCAGTCTCCTACTTTGTAAGTCTTAATGACTAGAAATCAGAAAACCGACAACTGCCAGTGCAGGGGTGAAGATGAGGCTCAGCCTCTGAGCAGCAAGCAGACTATGCATGCATGCATACATGCTTACATACATGCATGCATGTATACTTTTACAGGTATATGCACAGACACACACACACACACACACACACACACACACACACACAACACTTTTACAGGTATATGCACAGACATACACACACACACACACACACACACACACACACACACACCCAGTCCTCCATTTCATCAGAAGGCAGAGTGAACCTCGGTCTCTTGTCCCTTAGATGCAGACTTCATTCCCGGTCCTGCTCTTTCCTGAAGTAACTAGCTGTTCTGAAGCCTTCCAATGTGACTGCTGTTCAACAGAGTCCTCATAAGAGACCTTAC